TGTTCACTTAAATAAAATACGTTCATTTAGCGCTTTTCTAGCATATCGCACAGCCGAATTCACAAAAATGTGCAATTGTGTAAATTGTCACTGTTAGAAACCTATGATTATTCATGTAGGCCTATTCCGTTTTAATCTGTTTAATCTCTGTTAACTCTGCATCTGTTATTGTTATACAATCCGGTGCGCGCTATAAAGTTCAAGTGCGTTGTTATTGCTACCCGGCTGCGTCTCAATCAACAATAAATCGTCTTCTGATTAGAAAAAAACCTGCTGCATTTCGTGTGTGAAATCCCCCCTCAGCCCCAGCTCTGACTGACTTCCCGCGTCCCTGGCTGTATTGAACAAACTAACTGTATCACTATAACATGATGATGATGGTTATAAAGAATACATACAAAACAGTGCATTAAACAAACCATCATGCTCTTACTTTGAAATCATGCGGAAATGTCAGCAGGCCATCACGTGGTTTCCGAAAATAACCGAGTGACACGAGTAGATTTTAGCAGAGACCGGCGGAAAGTTTGTCTCAAAACTCTGTGTGTGTAAAAAAGACGATCCACAAGCAGAGATTTGAGATCCGCAAGCAAATTTTTGATTGACAAATACAAAATGGATTCACAAATGCCTGATCAAAGTTGTCAATGTTAAAGAGATATTCACAGATCTTTTTTTAATGGTGAAAATATTTAGCGTATTTGCAGATCCGTTTTACATTTGCAAATGTATTTGTGAGTTTGCAAATCTTTTAAATGCATTTGTGGATGGTGTTTTACATTTACAAATCACATATTTACACAGAAATAATTTTTATGTTCACACGAATAATTATGAGACAAATATATGCCCATACATCACTGAGTGATCCAAACCCGCGACAGGGGAAGCAAAAACAGACATCACATCACGTAGCTTCACGGAGGAAACACCGGAGAAATTCTTACCTTAGCTGTTGCTCTGATCAAAAGTCGTGTTCAATGGCATTAAAACGAGAAAAACATGGCTGAAGGTTAATCCAATGGTGAGTCCAATGTGTCTGGACTCACCATTGGATTAACCTTCAGCCATGTTTTTCTCGTTTTAATGCCATTGAACACGACTTTTGATCAGAGCAACAGCTAAGGTAAGNTAAATTTGACTCGGTTTTGGGTGAGCCTTAGAGTTGGTCCATAGGGTTTGCAATTTTTAGAGAATGCATTTGGTACAAGTATCTAAAGCCTGGGTTTGATAAATGTGAGTCTACATTAATTTTCCCATTTTTTTAAATGTGTTATTGTGAAATATAAAATAGCCCATAAAAGAGAAATTTACTTCAAAGTAATTTCAAGACTTTACCTAAGACACATACTTGGATGTAAGATATTACTTAGTTATTTCCCATCTTCTGGCAATGTAATAATGAGCACCACAGAGGACACGAAAACAGGTGTTAGGACCAGCACTATTTTTTACTCACACTGCACTGCTTGATTTCACAAAACGATGCCCCCCCCCCCCCCCCCTTGATCTCGCCCAGTTGGTTTTATATGAAGTGTGTGTGAAGGAGAGCACGATTGGAGAGTCATTTATAAGGTCTCACGTGTGGGCTTATGTTTCCCTTTGGGTCGCGTCATGGCGATTGGGAACACCTGCCCCGTAAATTCATTTTAGAATACAAAAGGAACTGATCATCCTGGTCAGCTGGTTCGGTTAGCCAGTCTAACATTGATGTATTTCACAATATCTCTCCGTGGTCTATGCAATTACACAGACAATGGCAATTAATGATGGTCTAGATTTGATCCGAAATAAGCTTCTTTCTGCGAGTTGAGATGGAGGTGTTTTCAGCAAACAAATTCTCAGGCCCTCTGAAGACGTTACGAAGTCGTTTAGTGAATTTCGCATATTTATTAAAACTCCTTTAATGATCCACATCGAATGCCACTGGATTCATTTATTTATACACGTTGACAGATAAGCAACACATAGATGTACACCTCATTTACTTTTTAGGCAAAAAATAGCAGAGCTTTTGATAGAGTTCGATTCATGTATTGATTTACCATATCCGTTTTAAAATTTTGAGCATAATTTTGAATTTTTTTAATGTGCAGGACAGGGCAAGTTTTTGCAGGGGAGATCAGCCGATTAAATCCTTTATTTTTTTATAAATTTTTGGCCAGCCAAACATTCTTTAAAAATCGGCTTCATTGTCTTAGGATCCAGAATTGGGGTCATGCTGGTTGAGCATTCTCAGATCCATTCGTTGCTAGAGGAGATGGGGGCAGTGTTTGGGATGTGGTGCTGTGGTGGTGGTGGCCTGGTGGAGGGTGGGGGGAAGGGGTATTTATGTGCAAGATGGCGAGAGCGAATCGCCGATGTGGGCTGAACGTGCCCGTTTCCGTCACGTAAAGATGTCAGGAGAGGGGTGCGGCGGCTGCGATCAGGTGAAGAAGAAGCAGTAATTGCAGGCCTCCATGGGGCTGGGAAAAGCTTCGTCGTGTAGGAAGGTGGAGGGTGGAGCGAGTCAGGGCTGGGACCCTCCTCATTTGGGGTCAAACACCAACACACCACATGTGTGAAGCCAATGAGGTCTCACGCTTTTCAGGCCTTCAGTGTAAATCATGAATTAAGAGAATTTAAAAAAGACAAAAAACAGGACTTGAAGAGAAATTCAAGAAGAATAATTATTAGAGCAAGCCGTCCCATGTGGGGTTGTCTGCGAATAAGATGAGAATGCTACAGTGATAAAAAAACCAGTCCCGACCTCGATATGCATTCTACATTTTTATTTATTGTTGGCGGTTTGGCTGTCATGCATTCCAGGAGTTTGATATTTGGGGTGCTGACCTTGAAATTGAGATTCATGTCTGGTTGATGGGTTAGGGAGAACGGGGTGTTTCTAAATACCTACCCAATTGGATGGATGATTTAATTTGGAAACAGTGAAGCCGATGGATTTTGAATTTAATGATTTTTTGGTTTTAAAGCTATGAGGGAGCCCAAGAAAAGAACAATTGAATAAGGCTTGAAAAAATAGGAACAAGTGCCTTGATTTTCATCTTTTCTTTATCACACACGCTGGTTCAGGTCCCCCACACCAGCCAAAAAACAACAAACAAACACCACCCCCAACCACCTAAGTGAATCGCTGACCAAAGAACAAGAGCACACCTCGATCTATTAGTCAAATCAGTTGAAGTACAATTAAAACAAGAAAAAAAAAAATCACAAACTTAAAAAATCTGAAACCTAACGATAGCTGTCACCATTCCTAATCAAATCTAACAGAAGGAAATCCACCCTCCAATTAGGTCAACACACGCTTATTTAACGAGGACATGTTAAATATGGTGATTCCGAGGAGGGGTGTCAGGACCCACACTTTCAATTAACAATGGCATGTCTGTCGCTCACTAGCACACGCAAAGACTTAACACAACGAGTTAACTAACCTTTGTCATTACTGGTTTTTGGAACGAGTGTTACTACAACAAGAAAAGGGATACGATTCCGTCTTTTATGTTTTATTATAGCTTCGTTTCTTATCCATGTTGGGGAAGGTAAAGCTAAGGATCAAGTAAGGCGTTTTCCAAATCAACACCTGTGCCCGATTTATGTCTGTGCTGTACTGCAGCTATCTGAGATATATAAAAATAGACAGCACATTCCTGAACAGCAGACAGTCATCTCCTGGATGTAAACAAATATCAATCTGCCAAATGACTGGCACAACCACTCCTGACCAAAACAAGCAAAACTAACCCAACAGTGCTAATCACATGAGATGTACAGATTAATCACAATACAAATGCTCTTGGACTCTACTTCATGTCCAACCAATGCTTTCACTGACAATTACTTATTAGTCAACCCAATATTGATCAAAATATTTGGACCTCATTAAATATGTAGATCTACAACCGTGACTCTAAGACATGAACCACATGTCTTTATTGCAAGAAGATGAAACTATAAGTATATTCGGAAAATCATGAATCAGAATATTTTTCAGTTTATAGATCACCCATAACAGAGGGGGAGTTAAACATTCTTACAGACAAAAAAAATTGGGCAAAAATATAATATAAATAAGCATGAACAAATAACAAATACCAGATCAATCATTAAATGATAAAAAAAATATACACATGACAAATTTACAATTTGAACACAACAAGTCTAAACTACTTCTTAGGTCGACATAACCAATAAGTAAACAGTAACAGTTAATACATAAAACAAATACATAAAAAATCCCAAATATGTAAGAAAAGAATAAACATGATAGTAAACGATAAACTTGAAACTTGTCTACTAGACAGATCAAAAATACAAATTAAACCTTAAATAACCAGCAGGTACAACACATGAATAAACAGCTTTACAGATGAATATTCCCTGCAAAATCAAATAACCAATATTCGCCGTCGAACCACCTACAACCGCGCATCATCCCCCCCCCCTCAAGAGATAAAGAACGATACAATGAAGTTCGCATCTACATAATTACCGACAACGCTTCTTGATGCATCTGAATGATCTGCGATCGTTGTTAATGAGTGAGACACACTGGAGTTGAGGATCTGTGGGGTTTATTCTCCAAAAATATAATTTACAATTTAGGCATTTAGCAGACGCCTTATTCCAAAGCGACTTACAATGACCAATCACAGGGACATTCTCCCTGGAGTAACTGAGGGCTAAGTGCCTTGCTCAAGGGCACACTAGTAGTGGTGTTCCAAGCGGGATTTGAAGTCGCAACCTTCCGATCATCACCCCACCTCACTATCCATTAGACCAACACAATTAAATCAATGTATGGGAAACACTGGGTTGTAGAGCTCCAGGGCTTAAGAATTTATAACAACTCTCTACTTTCCTATTATTATTTAACGTCTTCTGGGGTGTTATGTTATTGTGGGACTACCTTTAGGCTAAACTGATACATCAGTCGGTTGGCATCAACAAGAAAAACGCCATGTCAGCAGATAAACCTTGTTATTCTCCAGCAGGGTCCACTTGCTCCGCAGGAACGGGTTTACAGGGTTACACAAGATCACGGAAAACATGCAAAGCATTTTGAAATGCACGTCACCGCCTTTTTACAGATTGACACCATGTGCATGTACATGATCAGGATTGCAGACATTTCTATTTGATCATGTTATCTGTTACATGTAAGAGAAACAGAGAGAAGGCTCAAGAAGAAGCAGGGAAATTGAGAAGCTATATGAAGTGAGAAAAGAGCAAGCTGCCCTGATTTCATTCCTGTGTTGCATGGAATCTGGTCTGTCGCACCAGAATAAACGCTCACCAAAATAGACCTGGGTTACGTGTGCTTAGCGTGTGATTTCAAAAAGCTTGTTTGTGTGTGTGTATAAATGCAAGACATGGGAAACAACTGACTCAACTTACATTTTCCCCAACGTTGTACTAAACAGGCATCTACTTTCATGCTTGTTTTCCATTTTGTCTTCTGTATGTGTCTCTTTGTTGGTCCATCTAAGGAAGAAATATTACAGATTTAACTTTATAAGACTATTGTATTACTCTTTCTTATGTTATCATGCTTCCCCGAATCTCCCTCTCAGTTCTCTTCATCTCTCATCTTTTCATCCTATAACCCTCAAACTGCACATTCTTTTAATTTTGGCCCTGAGAAAAGCTGATGTTCACTAGAAGCTGAGCTTATATCACGGACACACACACATGCTCAAACACACAAACCCAATAGGAACCCTGAGCATTAATGTTTTTTGTGTGTGTTTTTGTAGGACTAAAAATGAGTTGCAGGACAGGCAGTGCTGTCACAGAGAAATATTTATATCTGCACCTGAACTTGTTATTTTCTGTTGTCTTGCTTGTTTGACATTTTTATTTTCATTCTCACACAACAAATCACAATCAGGTTTGGTTGTATAACCACAGATCCACCAACATCACTTACATGACACACCTTTACATCCAGAACAAAAGCGCTAAACCCAAGTAATCAAACTTGATGGGTTGGATTTTCAAATAATTTGCCTTTTTATAGTTGGCAAGCACAAGTTTCCACACCTCAATTACACTTAATTTCACATGATCAGCCACATCCAGTAGGTTAGAGAACCACACTGTTGCTTCACATATTTTAGCCCATTAGTTCCCATAACATCAGTTGCAGAGACATGTAACTTTGTCGGGATCACAGTGAATCTCAATATCATTATCTACATAATCTCTGTTACGGCTGTTTTCACTGTGCCAAAATCAGCTGTGGGAACAGATTGTATGACTATAATATAACAAAAAGTCATTTAATCAACTATTGGAATGACAGAAATGACAGCATTGTGAGGATTTTCTTTGTCTAATACTGTAGATGACGGTTGACAGAATATCTTTTGTCGGTGTCAAATCTTTATCATCTGAAAGTTATAGATGATCACTTTTCGAAATTGAGAGTTCCCTCTGCATATTGTTTGTCAAACACTGATGTGCATTGTGCATACTATTCGTCGAGCTGACAAGTGGCACACGGTGAGGCTTACTCAGAAATGCATTAAACCTGCAAAAAATAAATAATTAAGGTGTTGAGTCTACTGGATTTGTATAAAAGTCTATAAGCAAATGACCATACTACTCTGCATGATTGTTTACCTAAAGTTTATGGTCTCAATCGCTCATTTTTGTTTTGTAAATTATAATCCCATTTAGAGTCAATTACACAAAAAAAGCATGTTATAAATGAAAACGTCCAATGCCAAAATTACAAACTTGAGGTTTCAACGTGGTAGTCCACAAACCAAACAGTGACGTCAAGGTGGTTACGTCCACTTCTTTTATAAGTCTGTGACTGCTTACCAAGTCTAGACCATCATTCTAGCATCCCAACCCTTACTGGATGTTCCCCTCATTCCCAACACTTCCCATCAGACTGGAATATTTTGAGACTGCTGGTTAACCAGATCTGGTTTTCAGTGTAGGAGCTTGTGCACATCTCCCTGAAAGTGAATGGAGGTTGTGGCTTTTCTTCTGCGTTCGTCCTCTAATTTGGACCTAATTGAGATGTTTAATTAGCGCGTATTTGTTTGTGTTTATGTGTCTGTAAAGAGGAGAGGGGCTAGTTATGTAATCTGCTGCAGTGTGTGAGGTCAGGGGATGTATGTGAGAATCCAATATTCATGAGCATCTTGAGTGCATCATGAATGTTAATAGGGACATGTGAGAGGACTGAAAATGGAGAGGAGAGAGGAACCAGAGAAAGTAAGAAAAGGGTCTGAGGGACAAATATGTTCTACCTCTTCTGTGTCACTGTCCGTCTGCCTCATTTCGCTCTTCATCCTTCCTTCTCTTCCTCTGCCTGAGCACACTCCCTGCATCTCTTGATCCTCCCACCTTCCACCTGTTCAAACCACCCCTCCTTCTTTTCCTCATCTCTTTCCCTCTTTTCTGTCTCAATCTCCTCCTATAATGAGGGCCTTAGCACTGTTATATGATGTGTGTATGAGTTGTTCACGTGGCAAGCATTAGTGTGTGTTGGGTGTGATGAAACATGCAGTCGCCCCGGGTTTAATCCAGTGCTGGACACAAAAACACACACTTTGGAATCTAACTCTGTAGGAAACTGTATTGAACATACATTCAGTCTCTTTTTCTCTTTCTCTCTATGAGGCGTGTTGTGAGCTTATGGCCTTCTCGCCTCATTCTCCTCTCTTTCTCTTTTTTCTCTGTCCACATATCTCTCATTTCTTCTCACCGAACACACACAAGCCCTCTGTTTGAAACAGAGTATAGCTCAATTTGAAACGTTCGGCATATAAGACGCATGCTTTCATTCTCAGTTCGAAAGACTGCCTGAGTGTCTGCCAGGATGAATCATGTGCTCAAACCAATTACTCTCTTTTAAAAATGGACCCTTTTCATAGGAGAGTGTGTGTCTCTTGAGTTGTGATATCAGCATGTTTGTATTCTCAAAAAAAAGGAAAATGATCCTAATTGGGTTCGTTTTGGTCAAATAACACAAATGTAAATGTTCTCTTTAGCCCTTTATAGTGTTTTGTAACCAAATAGCTTTGGCTTAAACAGGTTTTAAATTATTTGTACGTTGTAAAAAGAATGCAAGCTTTTAATGGTATTTTAAATATGTGAATAACTACAAAATACAGCTTAATAAACAAAAAAAGGGCTTGGGCATGCTACTATTCAGGACATGTTTTAGATATGTTCCTCAGGCAGCATTGATAAAGAAATGAAGGGTTAAGAACATTAAATAAAAGTGTATGTTTGTCATGATTTTACGTGCTTAACTCCTAGACTTCTGAACCTTTACCTCTTCTTCTTTCTTATAGTTACAGTTGACATACTGTAGTGCTCTGCTTTTGACTATTATTAGTTTGACACACCTGAGAAAATTACAGTACCTATTTTTTCTTTTGATGCTGGAAAGCTCACATGCTCTTGTCAATGCATGTTGGAAAAGTTAAACTGCTGTCACTAACTGATATTTTTTTGTTTTTGTCTTCTTCCCCTCTCCTCTCAACTCATCACTGGTCATCTCTCCTCCTGACCAATTCTCTTCTCTTCTCCACCTGCTGGTTGTGGTCCTGATGGTGTTTTCCAATAGATTGATCGGCCAATCGATGGGGATTTTCAGAGGAGCTCCGACTGCCTTCGCTGCCTGCCCTCCTCCACCCCCCTCCCCCCGCNACTCATTAACAACGCAACACAGAGCAACAAGAACGTTGTCTACAGTAGCCATGAACTTGCGTGTATTTTCTTATTTGAGGGGGGGGTGGATGCGTGGGCTACCCGAATAGGTAAAGGGGCCTTTGGCTTTTCTTGCCGGGGGGGGGGTGCGGTGCCCCCACAAATAGAATCAGATTATGTGGGAAACACTGCAACCCATACATCTGAGGGTCTTATAATACAGACCTAAGTCTAGAAATACATGTTTGCATCTGATAAACTCAATATGTGGAAGAGGACATTGAGTGACTGATCCGTTAACATCTCAGAAAAGTTTTTGTGTTTGCCTTCAGTCAACTAAGAAATCAGTCAATCATCAGAACATATATTTTAATAGCTGTTTTGAGCGATAATGTCAACACACCAGAAAAGTAAATGAACACTAAACAAACATATTGCAAAACATTCCTAGCACTGACCCATATAGAGCTGGATATGCATTATCAGCCTGAAGATCTTAGGATCAAGTTCACACTGCTGCGGCCTATGGATGTTTTGTGTGCACTTCTGACACACACAACCACTTACATGTAGTAGTGCAACATGTGTGAAAGGGAAACTCCAGATAAGCATCACACCTAATGCTCTGGATATTGTCCGAGTTCACATGAGAAAACGGTTTAGAGAAGCTGCTTTTATTCGCTCATGATTGAGTTTTTACTCTCCAAATCGATAATTAGCTTTGATTCTGGCATTGTGTGTGTGTGTGTGTGTGTGTGTGTGTATGTATGTGGCAACCCTCCCTCCTACAGCCTCTGAGGCTTTATGCTATAAGGGGGTAGCAAGCCAAACAAGAGATGGAAAAAAACTAAAGCGTCTGAGGGGACGATATGATCTACATGATGTTAACATGTGTTGGTTTTTTTCAGCCATCAGTGTGACCACGCAAACTGTCAAACTTTTTAAAAGGTCCTTTCTCTGATTAAAAAAAAATGTAAAAAAAAAACCTGCCTCCAAGTAAGCTCAAAACTTGTTGAAAAACAACAAATATAACCCCCCTGCGCTCACAGATTCAAAAATACTCAGCAGCTAATGTACCGGGAAAATAATGGTGTTTTTTTGTTGTTACAAAAGCTATTCTTACACACCAGCATCTTTGACAACTATCCAAGATAAGTATAACTGTCTGCACAGACCTGTTCAAGACTGCACAAGACCTCAGGGTGGTGAGTTTAACCCACGTCCGAAAAGGGAATATTCCACAGTACAGTTTACACACACACGTGATACTAAGAAAGGCCAACTGACAACAGCATTAAACTGCAAACCTTTTTTTTTAAACCCCACTTAAAACAGCCACTTCTTTCTCATTGCCACATTCACATGTCACAGAAAAGCGAGATTAGTGCTTTTATATATCATTTAACTTAATCAGCCTCTCAAACCAAATAGTTTTTTTATCTTATTTTCCCTGCAGCAGTGATGATATGATTCAGAAATCTTCATAATTCTTTTTGCGGTTAGCTTTTAAATTAACTTTTTAGTGCAACATTGCTCAAGCTTGGCATGGGCTCTGCTTTCACCACATAAACATATTTTGCTCAAGTTTCATGTTGTCAGGCAAGTCAAATCAAACCCTCCCAACAATAACAATACCAATATATGTTTTAAGTTTTGCCTGTTGCTCTCCTCAATGGAGTCAGGTTCAGTGTGTTCCTCTCCTCACTTGTTGTTTGAACAGGACAGGAATAAGGACTGGCATCGGTTATAATATAAAGTTTACTGTGTCCAAAAGTCTCAACAAATATGCAGCTTCACACTGCAAACATCGCATATGAGCTGCACACAGCTCCTTGTTGAACAATTGGCAACATCTCAGTAGATGAGTGCCAGAGGGATGTATGCTATAATTCTATAGGGCATGAAATCTAGCTCAATTAAATAAATGTATTATACATGTTTTATCAAGCCTCACATGGTGTCAACAACAGTGTGATCAAACATAAATGAGATCAAACTTAAACAACTATTGTACAAATGAGAATCATTTTATGTGTAAATATGCAACATCACAAATGTCAACTGATTTCACAACAATGGCATTGAAATAAAAATATCACCGATTCACTGTAGTGTATGGTACACTATAAACATTTGACAACCATCGGCAAATGTTTTGTGTGTGTGTGTGTGTGTGTGTGTGTGTGTGTGTGTGTGTGTGTGTGTGTGTGTGTGTGTGTGTGTGTGTGTGTGTGTGTGTGTGTGTGTGTGTGTATATATAAAGGTGTAGACCAACTATCTATAGTTGTTTTGTTTTTTTCAACAACAACAAAAAAACAATCCAAGAGAAGTTCCTATATTGTCAAAATGTAAAAGGCTCCATACTCCACCTTTCAGAAGACAATAACATCTATTATACGCAATGTCACTTGTCATCATGCCATGTCGGTTTTATAATGCTGATTCTATACACACATTTTCAAAAAGGGCCCACTTTAACTTTGACAAAGCAAAAGAAGAGTGAGAGTTAGAAATCAAAGACACTTTATCATTGGTGGCATCCAGTCTGATTTCTGGTAATTTCATTGGAAAGCGGGACATCAGTTTGTCCTGGGCCAGGGAGAGTCAGTGAAGAGGGGAACAGTGATTGGACAAAACCCAAAGAGATGCCTTAAGAGGGAAGTTTCATAATTTGATTTAAGACTGACGTTTCTACCACAGGATAAGGTGACTTTGGAAAACTTTGATGAGTGAAAGATCTCAAAACATCACTGTTGGGATATTAAAATTAACCACAGGCTAATTGTTCAAAAGTGTGATAAAGGCACATTTATACAAGATTTTCACGCTTTCTGAGCTCATCTGACCTAACCAATGCTTTTGGTAAAATGTTAGATCTAATGACAAGATTTGTATGCGCTCTGCCAACCAACCGGCTGCTAGTGCAAATCTCTGAATAGAAGTAAAATGCATGTGGTGACCTTGAGCAACGCAGTCAAATGTCCCGCTCCTTCAGAAGTAGGTATTATTACTTGCATTATTTTTTAAAGGTTTTTCCCGTGTAAATGCATTCCAATTCCAGTTATCATAAAGTTAAACCGCAACCTTTTTAAAAGCAATTTCTGGGGACTCCCTCCTTCTTGACCTTGAAAACTTGTGCTGAAGAGCTCCTTAATAAGCATTTCTGGGGGGGAAAAGTCACCTGCTATTTCAAAGAAATAAAGCCATTCTGAAATTGTTGACATCCTGCACATCTTTGCACATACAGTACACAGCATAAAAGAGATTTCATAACACATGGACAAACAAACAAACTACTGCTGCTTTGCATTAGTGGAGCTCAAGCCAATCGGGCAAACAAGTTAGACAGGAGGAAAAAGAAGAGTTAAGTTGGACTAAAAAGAGTGGAGGAGAGCTGACAGGAGAGCAAACCAACAAAGTGGAAAGTCTCTATTCTTAGAAGACGTTTAGTGTTGTTGATAATCTCTTTGGCTACCGAGAGCATCGGGGTGTGTGTCTGGGTTTGTGTCCTCTATCTCAAAGCCAGGGCTAAATACAGTACAGCCATCTGATATTGACGTTAATAACCGTCCTTCACCACTAGAAAACCAAGCAGCCATGCATGAAGTGTTGCTGATAATCTCCACACAAACAAACCAAACCAGAGAGGATTCCCAACCACACGCACACATTTATTTGACAACCGCTTACATCCAACTGTAACACCTACTTTTCTGTTTTTCTTAGACATCAAAGGTTGTCCGCTGTTTATTAAGGGAGTTCAGAGAAGATAACTTTCCAAAGCTAAGAGTTATAAATTGTGGCAGCAACCTGTTGTCTTTTACCCTCAGCTGTCGAATGATGTGTCTCATTACAGCCGCATTTAAGGCTGCGACAAGTGCGTGAGTGTGTGGGGTGTGTGTGTGTGTGTGTGTGTGTGTGTGTGTGTGTGTGTGTGTGTGTGTGTGTGTGTGTGTGTGTGTGTGTGTGTGGTAGAGATAAGGAGGGCTGTTGATAGCATTGATGTAAGTAAGACGAAAAACACAAAAAGACACTCGCTTAAACACACAGGCTCTCTGATCAGACTTGGGAAAACAAACTCGCTCAATCTTTTCTCTCTCTCTCTCAATCTCAGGTTTGAGTACAACAACTTCACACCGGTAGGAAGTGGGTCATTTACACACAGGATCAGGTGTATCACACACACAGCTGATATAGCCTTGTATCCTGACTTCAGGATACAAGGCTATATCAGCTGTGTGTGTGTGTGTGTGTGTGTGTGTGTGTGTGTGTGTGTGTGTGTGTGTGTGTGTGTGTGTGTGTGTGTGTGTGTGTGTGTGTTTGTACAGAGAAAATAACAGATTGTAAGACACCATAAAAAAGGGACAATGTGAGGTGGAGAGTATGAAAAATAATTGCCTGACTCAGCTTTTCTGCAGCACAACATGACATAATCCAGCGAGGAGCAGTATTAGTATTAGTATTATCAAATTTATGAAAATAGTATATTACTATCAATCTTTGTTTGCTTTGGAGAATGTTGTACACTTTGAAGTCTTTACTGAACAGTCCTGCCAGTAGAGAATACGGGAAAACTCAAACCAGGGACGTGCAGGTTGCATGATAAGCGTATACTTTCTTTACAGCAGGATACCTTCTTAAAAATCTGCCAATTGTGTCAGCTGAGGCTCTCAAGCTTTACTGTGTGGCGTGGAAACTATTGAACAAACACATCTGGAGTCACATTGAGTAAACTTATGTTAGTATTCAACATGCCAAAGTAAATTTGGAATATGTGATGCGTTTTGTTTGTTGAGTCACAATAAAAACATTTCAAACTACAGTTCTCGCTAAAATTTTTTTACATTTTTGTTGCAAACCTCAATCTGGTCATAATAGGAAGGGTGTGTTTGGGCATGTCTCGACCAAGAGACTAGGAAGTATCTCGGTTAGAAAGGTGTGAGCATTACATAACTGGGATGAAAACAGTAAGCATAATCAGACATTATTTACATGTTGTTTAGGGGAATAAAATCCAGTTCTGAATGCAAAGTCTCAAATATTTGTATATGGGCAAATAATGAACAGCCTTTCTCTGAGAGTGTCTGCATACGTGTATGTGTGCTCTGTTTGCACAACATCTGTGCTAATGTATGTTGAAGTTCATGTGTGTTCATGTGACTTTTTGCTCGTGACCAGATGTGTCTGGCTACATTGCGTTGTTGGTTTTAAAATGATGCCGATTCAGCGCCATTCAATAGTCAGCAAACATTTCACCGAGAGGAAGTCGGCTGCTTTCACTTCAGCTGAACCTGCCAGTCTCAGGCGTGCAACCTGAACTCAGACTGCATCACAGCACGTCGTAAGGAAGAGGCTGACATAGAGAGGCGGATTTTTAAGGAAGAACAGTATGAATGTGTTTGTGTGTGCAAATCCTCTCAGATCAATCGAAACCAAGAATGCAATCGCATCACCACATTCTGCACTCCGGCTGTGGTTTTTCAGCAGAATAGAAACAAAACAAAAGTAGAGCAAAAACATATGCTGGCCATTTAGATCTCTCTTTGGGACCAGTGTTTGTGCAGATTTACTCAAACAAACATAACAATAATGACACATGGCTTTTAAAGTGCTGTGTTTGGAGTGAAATAAAGAAAGGGGTGCATGCAAGACTCACCAAAAGGCCTTAAAAGCTTCATTAATGTCGGTGAGACGTTTTGGTCCAGGCTGCAATTTTAATCCTTGCTGTCGTACCTTAACACACAAACACAAAGAGTTAAGACCCAGCAAATCCACACTAAAACACAGCATGTCAAGTTATACTTTACATAAGATCAATAGAGCAAATAGACTCTCTTGTGCACGCAAGCATAACAATAAATCAGTAGCTGTCAATAAACCAGAATCCCCACAAAACAGCTTAAGGAAAACTGTCCCTATCATTGCTCTGCCTACGAGAAATGTGAAGGAGCTGCAGCTGTCCAAGACAGATATATTTAAATGTAATTGTACACTGGATCACAGAAATGTAGGTAAAACCCTATAAACATATCTGATAGTATCAAATGGATGTGAATCCCCCCTTAGGAAAATAAACATGGCTTTTACATTTTATCTTAGAGCAAAAAGGCAGAAGAACTCTGTTGTGGATCGAACACTGCCACTGAAATCACTGCAACAACGGATTATTACATTATCGTTATACATAAATTTAATTAAATTAACCTCTTGCTTACAATAAAAGGTGACATGTGTTTCCTGAAACTTCCTACAACACAAAAATGATTCCATTTGCAATCACAAAACAAATAATCTACTTTAATGATTAGTAGATTTGTTCAGTCTTATTTTCTCAATTAATCATTACAGCCCTAATTTGCTTTATAAATAAAACACCCAAAGCTGTTGACACATAAATGCACCAACAGCCACTGACAATAAGAACACCAATGATTAGTTGATTAACAATACAGGAACTTCTCATATGGTCTTTATTGTTAAATGAAAAGCCCAGAACCCAAACAAACCGGTATCTCTTTTGTTTTTATCACAGAGTCAAAAGGTGTGCTCCTTCCTGGTTAATTTCAAAAGATGCAGTGAATTAAATTAACCTTATTAATCTACTGTCCAAACTGCAACCCCTGAGCCTTCTGTTTTTTCAACCTGCAAACACCATTTAGAAATGCCAATTATAAACACTTTATAATCCAAGCAGCCTAATTATGCAACCTGACCTTTGCCTGCCTCTCTGAACCTCCAGCTCTCTTTTTGTTTTTAACACAGGCCTCACTACTGTAATGCCTCCTCCTCCTCCTCCTCCTCCTCCTCCTCCTCCTGCTCTCTCTGCAGCAGCAGCAACCTGAGATGCTGTGTATTCCGCCTGCCTGATTTTACCAACCTCGGCTACAAAATGCTTATTACCCGTCCCCTCGCGCCTGTTCTGACCGGACACCGAGCTCACCTCTCCGGGTAGTGTCAGCCGGTGGCTCCGTGTTAATGTCCGCTGAGCGTCGGGCTGTCGCTTGGCTCTGCGGCAGCTTTTGTTGCATAGGTTGCCCGCTACTCTCCTGCAACTGACGCCAGAGCTTTAAATACGCCTTTAAAGGAATATCTGTCGGAAGGAGAGACGTAGCGATGGCTTCCGTCGACGACACGGCTAATTTGCATAAAAGGGGCGAGGCTGCAGCGGTGAAGCGGACAGATTCAGAGACAGCTTCATCCCGCAGGCTGCTGAAACAATTTCATAACATTCATCTACTACTTAGTAATTATTTATCTGTTATCTAATATATCATTCCAATAACTTGTATATAGACTCGTATTGCACTATTCCACTTTTTTTTCTCACTTTTTAAAACTATTTTCTCTTTTGTATTTTTTAATATAGTATATTTTAGTTTAGTATGTTTTAATATTGTCTGCTTATCTGTATTATTGTGTTGCATTGTTGGAGAAGCCTGTGAGCTAATATTTTCAAAGACATAATCACACTGTAGCTATGTTAGTTTGACAATAAATAACCTTGAACCTTGACAGGCTGAGATTTTAAAGGTGAATACCATCAAAAATATTCAGTCACAGAAAGACTAAAAATACGTTTACCTACAGTTTTTAAGTAGCCTACGTTAATTGTTTTAGTATTTCCATTGTGTGCTACTTAGATATAATCTGCTATATCCCTAATTATTATTTTACTGGTTAAATCAAATAAATAAATGGATAAAATAAACCTTACCTAAAGGAAATTCTTTGTCAGAGATTGTTCACACATTACAAACACATGAAAGGTATAATGGCAAAACATATATAAAGTGTAAACAATAGATTAAAAATAAAAGTTAGAGTAATTGAATGTTTATTTTTAAGATAGATAGTATTACATTTCAGACGGATAGATATTCAAAGACGCTAACAAACAACACAGGCGCAAGATAACGAGAATGGTGTGGCTGAGTTAAGCCAGACCATTTTCTTTCTTTTACTTTTTGTTTTGTTGGCATGTACTACCTCACAGATGTGGGGTCTGACAGCCCCTATATGCTGCATATGCAAAAATAAAAACACCTTCAGTTTTTGTCCTGTTGAGATCTTTTTGAAAACACATAAATGTATAGAAATGGCAACCCTCCCTTTAGAATCTAGAAGAATAGAAGTTCCAATTGAGTTATTTAGTATTTGGTAGGGGTAATGCTGCAGAAAAAATGTTGTTAAAGGTGACCCAGGGCTAAACAGAACCCAACATAAATATTGAGGTTTAATGAAGTCTTGATTTGACTGAATAATGGCTATTTATGTAAATAAAACACTTCAGTATACTGCAACATATCCAAGTCTATTTTTTCCAGATAAAATCAACAAAGTCTCATGCATACAGTAAATCCCAATTATGGATTATTTGTATAGCTTTGTTTATTTAAGCTTTTGAATTAATCACTTCATTAAGATAAAATCAAGTCTTGGCCGGATTAACCCTCCCTAGGGAGCCCCACGGGGGGGGGGGTAGAGAGAAAATGAACTGAAGAGAAAGTGCTACCAAAACAGATCGGTAGCTGCAACTTATCTTCGATAGCAGCCGAGGCATGACTGGACCTGCATATTGAGAGATTAACAGCTTCTTATGGCTTTATGTAACACAACAATGTTCAGCATACACATAAACATAAAGATTTACATGAATAAAAATGTACATGCACACTCATAGTATCTGAGGGACTGGAATGAAGTTTTAGTTTGGATTGACCGTTCTTAAAAGGGGGAACAGCGGTCATTTACAGAGTAACAGCCCTGTAAGGATTCAGTGCTTTGCCCAGTGACAGCTGAGCTGTTCTAGCATTATGTTTGCTCTTCCTATCACTCTGCCGTGGTGAAGCACAACAGGAAGCATGAGTCTGAAATAAGCCAGGCAACTAACCAACATTTAAGGGGTAATTGAATTGTTTGACATTTTTCGAACAAAGATTATCAATATCTTGTTTGGTTTTCTGCTCTTCTCTGTCATATGTCAATGAAATGTGAATACAATGGGGGTTTTGGACGGAAAATATCTCCTTGACCTCTTTTATTACATAATCAGGCACAATCTTCACATATTTCTCTAAACATTCACAGTCCCCTTAAAAGAGTGCATGATTAATGTGATAAACATGTTGTTTATTACATTGGAATACAGCCCAACAAAGTAACAATCAGTCTGGTGATGCTGGTGTGTCAGAACAGGTGCGGTTATTACTCAGGGACAATGCTGTTCCGAGAGACGTGTTGGCATCTCAGATCCACACTGCCAAAAACCTGTCACACACAGCTGGGTAGCTACTGCCATCAATGTAAACACTAGGGCTGCTCAATTAATCGTATTTTAATCGCGATTACGATTATGGCTTGCAACGATTACGAAAACAACGTAATCAAAATAAAACGATTATTTTTTTATTATTATTTTTTTTTTAATACTTTTTTGTTGGGTTTTTCAGTTAAATTATACTTAAAGTTCAGGGTAATCAACAGTTAAAAACATACTGTTCACATTTTTTTTCTCCAATAAATTGATGTTTTCAAAGTAAATGGATCATCGTTTTTAATAATCGTGATATCAATTATTGACCCAAATAATCGAGATTATGATTTTTGCCATAATCAAGCAGCCCTAAAAAACACCCAACTAAAACACAAATTCTCAGATTTAAACGCATTTAAACCACCAAAGGGAGATTCTGAAAAGATAATACGTCATATTGTGCTCTCCATAACTTCATAAAAACACAAAATGGGGAAGCATAATTTGAAAAAGGTATTTATCTGTAGAGTTTTTTGAATCTGCAATTCCAGCCACAAGTTGTGATGTTAGACGATCAACCCTCAAATTCCCAAGACATGTCATTATGGCATGTTTCACCACTGCCCCAGAAATTAAAATTAAATTAAAAAATATATGTTATATTGATAATCTGGGTTAAAGTCTTTGAAAGTGAACTTCGATGACCTCCTGTAGGGAAATCTTGCTCCAACCTTAACTTGTCATCTAACAGCACCATCTTCTGGTTGACTCTGGAAAGTGCAGGAAATGGGGATTAAATTAAACTGGAGAATTGTGCACTGTGATGGGAACAATATGAACAGCTTTTCAGAAAACTTTGAGATTACTTTGTTGGATTGTAAATATCGGCATATAGATACCCAAGTTCTCATGATAAACCGTGACAACATGTTACATTATACCTTTTATAGTGTTTGTTCCCCCAGTTTTATAGAAAAACATTTCAACGTGGTCAACTTTTCCAGAGCAAAAGTCTTTAAAGTAACTCCCAGCTTAGTAAATAACCCAAAAGCGAGACTTCCTCTGGTTGTAATAAAGACAAACTGAACACTTACTTTATAAAATGTGTATTTAACTTTGTTCACTGTGGATTAAATATAAGAAAATCTTGTTAACAGTTGTATAGTTTCATATGAAGTCTTGTAAAAAGTCAGGTAAGACAATATTCATACATCAATGGTTGAGTTTGCAATGTCACATTGTTTAGTCTTATATTGACATTGCCAGTTATATGCAGTAGTGTATAAATACATTAAGAGAAGTACACACACTTCGGTTTGCTATCCTGGCTCCAAAACGGTGGAATGAGCTCCCCATTGAAATCAGGACAGCAGCTAGCTTACACATCTTCCGGCGCAGACTAAAAACTAATCTTTTTCGACTCCACTTTGAGCAATAAAAGTATTAATAAAGCACTTATATACTAATAAAGGACTGGCTTATCTAAAGCTAGTTGAGTAGCACTTGAAATGTTTTAGCTCTACCAAACCTGATGTACTTATATGATTCTGTCTTTTGCAATGTAATGTAAGTTAAACCCTTTAAATGAACTTCAGGTGATACTTACTGAAGATCAGGATACATGTAAATAAAGTTGATGCCCAGGAAAAAACACAGATGTGTGCCAACTTCCTTACACTGATGTTTAAGAGTCCCAAAATATAAGGAGAGCAAAAAAAAGGATAGATAGAAATAGTAAAAATAAGAAAACTTAAGTCTGTTCCGTTCCACTTAGTTTTACTACACATAAAACGAGTGTAATCATTACTACTTAGGAAACCATGAAAAATGCAAAGAGAATACATTACAAATATACATTTTAACATTTGAGTAGACATTTGTATCCCAGACTTTTCACTTAAAATGATTAAAACTATTATTATTATTATTAATAATAGCATATTCTTTAAAGCCGGGAATTTGCAATTGACCTTTGCTTTGTATCTTCTGTCAATCTGTATATAAAAACACATTTCCTTTACTCATTAGGACCAACGTGATGCAGGTAAAACTAATCTTGTAGGAAAATAAATAGAGAAGAATGTGAAACCTAGTCTAACAATGAGGTAAGTGTTACAACGAGGGCAAAATACTGTTGAGTTGTTCCTCATTCTGTGTGTTTTTATCAGATTCCAGTTGTTGCAGGACTAAACAAGTTTCTCTGGTGCGTCTCTTAAACGTACGGTGCTGTATCACATGTCAGAGTTTGAGTCCAGCTCCAGAGTTTGGTTCATCTTCCATCGTTTTTCCCATCACTCTCTGCTGTACATTGTCCGTTAAAGCATAACATCCATAAAAATAAACATGTTCTTTCCCACGTGATGGGGAGATCTCCAAGTGTTGTTTTCAGGGTAGTTTGACTCCTTTGAACTGTAGAAGCGCACCTCAGAAACACAGTGGGAGGTGAGGCTCAGTCACACAATGTTTCCACATAATACTAGTGTGATTAAACTCCCTTAAACCAGGGTACAACATTAAATAATGCATGGTATGAAAATATAATAAATGCCTTGAATAAAGTGAAGCAATCTGAATTAAAAAAAATATCAAATTCTTCATTTTTCCTTCATGTTCCCGAAAAAATTAAGTGTTAGTACGGTTAGTATTTCAAACTGCATAAAACCACTTCATAGCAGGCGGGAGAAGCTGCTCAGCTGGTGAGTCTTTATGTAAACATGTTGCTTCACATGACATGCCATGTGATTCCTTCATATCTCCGAGATGCAAAAGGCAAGGCGAGGCTGGGAATTGGATCGTCT